GAATATGTATAATAAAGCCAAAAATTAAAACCTGCTCGATCTTTGAATTAGCGGCGCCTTACTCATAAGCAAAAGATGTCTGAAGTATGACTCATACGAACTGTCAGAAAAGTGAAGTTGTACATATGTACATTCCACAACAAACGATAACTAGTTTTTTTTGTAAAAACAATTTTCTCTTCTTTTTACCGTTTTTATTATCATTTTGAATATTTTATATTTTATAGATTTTATATTTTTGAATTTTTCTTACAGTTTTACTTTTATCTAACATGTGCAAAATAACGTTTTCTACATCAATTTATTTTCTTATTGCAAATCTATGAGTTGTTTTTTCATCTTGTACATGAACACACAAGACGAAATCCAATTCTCATTTGACTATTGTTTCGAGAAAGAATTTGTTTAATATATGGATTTACGAACTAACGCTATAAAACAGCAAAGATATCGTCAAAATGTACAAAATTTTCGCAAAGAAAAACAACAGTCGCCAGCATGTGAAACAACGATAGATGAAAATATTCAAGGTTCTAATAACAGCTGTATCTCAGAAGATGAGAACGCAATGTAAATTATGATTTCGCATAATGATTAAAGGCGGATTTACCTTGCAGAGCCTTATGTTTGTGCTTGAAGCAGCATAATGGATGTGAGTACTTCTTTGGTTTCATATAGTAAGCTAATTTTTTTTTGGAAATAGAAATGGTGCTTATTGTTTTTTGCAAACCACTCTTCGACCGAAAATTTACTGTTTTTTAATATTCTAGACTACGCGTGCAGTAATTGTTTACTTGGCGAAGTGTTAGGCGACGGTAACACCATCGTTTATTATCCATATGAAAGAAATCAACTACTACGTACACATCTGCAATTTACTCTGCGTGTACTCGAGCGCAGTTAAATAATGGTGCATTGTCTATCGAAGGTTTATTTGGAAAAACACCACTTCTAAGTTTATCATTTGACATACCATCAAATTTTCCGTTCGATTACATGCACTTGTGCTGCAGGTAACGTTTACTGCAGCCGATAACAGTATTATTTTATTTTCTAGCGGACATATGGCGTTTTTGTTAAATAAGTGGATCGAAGAATTTGATCGTAAACAAATGACAACCTTTATTGAAGACGTGATAATACCAAATGATACTTCATTAACGATTCGATCATTGTACGCATTGAAATGGTGGAAGTCAAAAGAATACCGATTCTTATTGTTATACGTTGCATTTCCAATGATTTTGCTACATGGGTCTAGTGCGATATCTATTTATTTATCATTCTTTATCTTTTACGTATCATTCTTTTATTTATGTTTTAATTAACAGTTTATTCGTGAAATTAATCGGCACTGTGCTCCGTACGATGGCGACATTATTCACGCATTGAAATCAAATTGTTCAAGACTGGTTAAACATTTAGAGCAACCAGGAAAAGAAAATATCGACGAAGGTAATAAATTACATCTGTCTTCACGTTTCATGTATCCTTTTTTTTCTTCATTTTAGAAGAAGAGCCATTTGCCGTATTGGAGCATCTTATTATGAAACGTTACAAACACTCTAAAAAGTTATTGTTAAACCAGGTGAGCAACTTCGACGTTCACCAGAATTATTGGATGTTCTGTCGCTTAATTTTATTACTATTCATTTTAGGAAACCGTCGATGCCTATCCGATGATACAAATACAAACAATAAAGGGTATTAAAAATTATTCGATCGTCATTAAATACGACACTTTGATTACAACGAATTCACAATCTGAAGCTCTGGCTGTTTTGATTGGTTCATATGAGATATTCGATATCGAATACCAGGCAAAAGTACGGACCACATTGGAAGTGTTAAATGGTTTATCATTTAAAAAACGATTATTTTCATTATCATTAGCTGCCAAACGGTTTTTTCACGAAAATAAACTGAACAATGATGCGCTGTGATAAAATTTATTGTTCTTAAACCTAATCGAATAAAAGTTATATATTTTGAAGAAAGCTGTATGTGCATGTACTTTGATCTATCTCTTACACAGAAGTTTAGAACAATCAAAGTATTGTGTTAATTATTTTTCTATTGTTAGCAGATTTTGAATTATGTTTTTGTTTGTTTACTTTTGCTTGATTTTGTTTGTTACTTTTGCTTGACTGTCGCCATTTTGTAAATAACATCTCAGTTGCAAGTTAAGGAAAAATAAATAAAGAGAAAATCAATATCGATTTTCAGTTTTGTAGAAAATGCTCGGATTGTGAAATCTGATGCGATTTTCTAGCAAAGTCCATATGAATTTGTCGGCGATTTTCTGGTTAGAAAATCCAATTCGAATTTCTAATTTCCTGAATATCACATTTTTAACAAAGTAGAAATTAGCTAGCGAATTCATATGGACTTTCCTAGAAAATCGTCCTCTATTTTCTATAACTTATTTTCTAATTTACAGTGTAACAAATATGATTGACGAAGATCTGGTTTCCAATTCCTCCAACTCTATTTTGCGCAAGTATTTGCTATTTTTGGCCGAATCATCTTATATATCCTTGTTGTTCGTCGTTTAGGAAATGATGCTCGATCATTTGAAGGCGAGCCCGTGCCTTCTTCAGAGGCTATTCTAGCGAATAATAGAACTTCAGTTCCCTTGTCATCTACAACAGATAATGCTCCTCTAAATATGAGGGCGCGTAATAAATGAAGGAAACCTGTTCAGCTAGTGAAGTGTCAGAAGCTGTTCCCTTTACATTATAGCGGTTGTTAAACAAGTACCAGTAATAAAACAACACAACGTTACGAAATCATCTATCAATGTTAATTGGGGACCTACTGGTGATGCATCAAAACCGCGGAATGCATCCATAACACCAAAATCAATTAGTTTGTATCTTGATGAGGAAATAAACATTTGAAGTTGAACTTCTTTTTCCTTTAGAGAAAAATTCAATTCCACAAACAACACGGGTATATCACCATTATTCATCTATTCCTCTCCATTTCGGAGTTCAGCCGTAAAGCTGAATGCCAGTTAGTGTTTAATATAGTCCGAGAGTAAATGTTTGATCTCTATTTTTTCTGGTAGATGAACGACTTGATAATATTGAACACACTCTGAACAGTGTTGTTGACGCTGTGCACGGTTTTGCATCACAACTGCATGATTTATTTGGACAAATAAAAGGAGTAGAAAAATTATTGAAAATAGTCAATGTTGTAAGTTTTTCTCAGCTCTATGAAAACGAAGCTATTTCAAATTAACATTTAGAATACAGCTGTGCATAAACAATCAATAAATGTTTCACCACTACGTTCCCATGCATCATCTACATCGCTTACACCATCATCTCAACGAAAATTGGTGAGAAAAAATATTCAAATAGAAACCTCAAACGGTAAATTCAACGCTATTGTTCTAATTTAGATGTACAATGACATAAACTTAATGGCTCTAAAATCTGATTTAACTTCAGTTCGATCGTTTATGCGAAAGATGATAATGAAGATTTTTACCCGACAAGAAATAATGGACCTAAAACATTTACAAGAAGATGATGCACGTTATTCAGTAATCAATGGTATATTTTCTTTTTTTAATTCAAGTTATATGTTATGAGACGCTATCTGTGTTCTAGAGGGATTACAGCAAGCTTTTCAATTAGATGATATAACATTATTGGCTTAAAAAAAAACATTAGATGAAGCGAGGAAACAACTTCAGAAAGATGTGAAACAGCAAAAAGTGATGAAACACAGAGCAAATGAAGATGCAGAACGTGCGGTTGATGCAGAAGATACAGACAACGACATTCAATGATGAATTATGCCCATTTTTCGGCCATTCTAATTTATTTTTCTTCCCAGCTATTCTAAATTATTATTTCATTCTTCATTCTTCTAATAGATACGATTGTTCATTTTTTCTTTGGGAACTTTTGTTGTTGTTTGCATATAAATTATTTTGTTTGTGTAAAATATATTTTACTAAAAAGTACTATTTTGAAAAGTGACGATACTACTAAGATTCGAACACGTAACCTTTAATTGCATGCGAAAAGTCCTAGGAGACTCCCTGGGGACTCGGTAACAGGACTCCTCAGGGAGTTCCAGGTGGAAGTCACCTGGGACTTTTTTGAGGATTATAGACTAGGAAAATCACTAAAATTTTCAAAAACAACCAAACCTTTCAGTTTTATTGTTTCCATGGAAAAAGCATAAACCGAAAGTATTGAATACCCAAAGGCGGAACTATAAAGCATCTAAATTAGTAATCCGTCCGCATAAACACACACTTTCTGCTTATTCATAATCATCTGACTGTAAAAGGATCTGCTGTATGTTACAGTTGTGTGAAATTAGTAACGAATTCTATCTCAAAAAGTACTGATTCTAGGATGACCTCCTATATATCATCTTATACAGGTCATGGGAAGCTAAAATCACTTATGATTTTACAGTAGCATGGACGATTTTGGACCAACCAGAAACAGTCCATGATATATCATTGCATTTTTTGAATATCCATCGAGAGAAGTTACTGTGTACACTGTGTACTGTTCGGTGCATATATATTTAATAGAACTGCACGTGTCTGCAGTGCACACTACCGTCATCTGTAGTATAGTTTTGAAAATATCATTTTCAGCCGAAATATAACTAGACTTTTATTCTAAAACATATTTTTAACTTTGAAAGCTATTTTTAAAGCTATTCTGACGTAGAGACTCAAGTTACAAAATGCTCAACGGTGAAAAAGTGATTTTAGCTTTCCATGACCTATATATAGGATTGGACTTTGACAAGTGCATTAGTACAATGTTTTTAGTCAGTAGTAGAACAAATTAATGGAGGAAAATTCATGGCTGTCATGGGCTTCTAATAACAAAGGGATGGATGAATCATGCTTGGATTTTCCATGTTGTGTGAAGAAATGCGAGATTTTAATGTAAACTGAAGACTTTTGAGTAAGAATTTGTATAATCTATGTATGTGTCGACATAGTGGTTGAAGGAGCGTGTTTTTTTTGCTCTAAATTACTTGCTACGAAGCGGATTGGACAAACAATGAAATTAGGCACATTATTACCGTTGCCATTCGACGGTAAGTAATAATTCAAACTTTACTACCTTATTTATGAACATATTGTTTTGTTAAGATCCAACTCATGAACAGCGATCGAGAAGAGTATTGTATAATTCAAGTTTTACTGATGATTAGTAAGTTTGATATAATAATACATATGAATTGTTTTAATGATTCTCCTCTGTATTTCTGTAATCATTGTTTTGTTCTTATGACAATGATTAATCGGTCATTGAATGAACAAGTACGAAAACAAATACCTGAACTATTCATTTTAAGACCCACGTTGTTCATTTTAGATGTGTTGAAATTTGAAAATGTCATAATGTAACAATTGTATTTGGTTCAGTTGAAACAACATTACAAATAACAGACTGTGAAAATGCATCGATGTTAGCTGTTTACCGATGACTCGTTATTAGGTATTAAAATAAAATATAACTTTATTCTTAAATTAATATATAAACTCAATTTATTCTAGTCAATGTCGTTCATCATCATTTTATATTCTTACACCAATTCGTCCACTTATACAACTAAATTGTTCAGATTTATTATATGCTCCTTATAATACATCTTATATTAAACTACCAGAACATATGAAAAAAACAGGTTTATCGAGAGCAGTTTGATATTCAATAGGCAATGGAATAA